GACCAAACTGAAAAGCAACTTAGAAAACAGAAACCACCCTCAAATTCAGAAAGGAAGATAAAGGATGTAAAGAGGACAGTATGCAGTCTTCTGGGAATGAAAACCAGAGAAGGAATGGGGGTGGTGGTGAAGGGGGATGATCTTGTTTATTCTAAGGAAAAAATCTGTTTTTTTTTCCCCTCCATCATTTGGAATCTTTAAATCAAGACCGGATGTCTTTCTAAAATATACATTCTATCACAGTTCAATCACAAGTTATGTGGCTGAAAGTGTGGAAGTTCAGGAACCAAGGCTGACAATTTGTAACAGTACAAATAATATAGTACAAGTAGCCAGAAAAATATGTTTATTTTACGGTTCAGATCTGAGCACCATTTGTTTTATCCCAACAAATAAATAAACATATTTATCAGCCACAGAGCAGAATATCGCAACGCTATCAGACTGCTTAGAGACGAGATGTAGGCTGTCCTCAGGTCCCAGTTTAAAATCTCAAATACTTTTTGATAAGAGCTCTGACTCAAGCAATAAGCATGAAAGGATTCCAGTTAATCAGATACATATTTCCTTATTTAACTGTAACATCAGAAATTAAGCTTGCAGTACGTTCTTAAGAGATAGAATATTTATTTAATTACAAGTTGTTGGTTTTTTTTTTAAAAAAAAGCTATATTGTTGGTTAGGTAACTGTTCTGAGTTTTTTGCATATGATTAAAGAGAGTGGTAAGATGTTCTCTCCTTCACTTTCCGTCCTGGACAATTGTGCAGCATGCCAGTGTTAAAGAGCTGCCATATTCCACCTCAGAGGTGGCTGCACATCAGCATTATTTGAAGGTATTTCTTTTAAATATAGATTGATTTCAGGCCACGATTAGATGTTCTGAGAAGAAAATTACTATATAAAACTGCTCAAGACAGGGGTGATGGAACAATTTGTATAGTGGGGGTGCTGAGAGTCATTGAACCAAACTCTAAACACTGTATACGATGGAAACCACTTCAAGCCAGGGGGTGCAGCAGCCAGCATCTATGGCTCAGGAACTATATATTTTATACTGGACAGCTGTTTGAGGTGTGGATCATGTTTTTCTGTAAAACACCCAGCACAGCTTTTTATGCCATAAATAAGTAAATAAAAATAAAAGATATTTCCAATATTACCGATAAAAGATATTACCTCGCCTACCATGCTCTCATCAATAAGTAATCACAGACACACAAACTACATTAAAAAAAAAAAAACATTGAGGTTGCAAAGTTTAACACTCATAAGTTAGGAAATGCCAGAATGAAGATGGCCCATGAAGGAGGCTGTTATCTGTAGAACCCATGCCTCTTTGTTGCGGAAGTTGGAAGGTGTTTAGCGAATGAGGCAGGCGATTATAGGAAAAGAAAGAATGGTCTCATGGTGAAGACAGCTGAATGCTGCCCTGGAGAATGGGATTCTACCCCTGCTTCTGCCACAGAGCTCCTGTGTGATGCTGGGCAAGTTACTTAAACCTAACTTTTCATGGGTGGCCACTGTGTGTTCCTCATTTTCTGCATGCTCAACATGAGACCCTGAGGTCTGATTTGCAGAAGTGCTGATCTCTCCCTGCTGCAAATGAGGTCAATGGGAGCTGTGCTTGGAACACATAAAGAGCTATATAATGCTAAGTAGTCTGAAAAATGAGCTTCTAACACCTAAATTGGGCACTCAAAATTAGTGGCCACTTTTGACCTTAATCTCTCCATGCGTCAGTTCCCCATGTGTAAAACAGGAATAATACCACCCCCTCACCTCACTTCCATTCAAGAGTGTTTAAGCTTTCCCAAAAGTGGCCTGAAAGCAGCCCCCTGCCCATGTCCCCACACCCAGACCCTCCACCCAGGGCAGGTGGAGGGCCCCACTCCCCGTGTGGCTCTGTCCCCAGCCCGGCTCTGGCCAGTGGGTGGGGCCTCAGAGACACAGCCCAGCCATGACACGACCCGCACGCGGCCAGACAGCTGTGGGGAGCTGCGGTGGACCCTCCACTGCCCATGGTGTGGGGGGCCTGAGGAGAGCAGCCCCTGGCCCGTGTCCCTGCCTCCCAGACCCTCGGCCCAGGGCAGATGGAGGGTCCACGGCTCCTCACAGCTGTCCAAAGCTGTCCAAAGCTCTGTCCAAAGCCCCCACCCCCCTCCCTGAGCCTGGTCAGGGACAAAGCCGCATGGGCAGCTGTGGGGAGCTGGCATGGAGTCATGGGCCCTCCACCTCCACCTACCCTGGGCTGAGTAGGGAGCCTGGGGAATGGGGACATGAGCAGGGGGCTGCTTCAGGGGTCTGCACAGCTCCCACAACTGCCTGGGCTCCCTGGCCGGGCTCTACCAGCTGCTGGCCTGGCTGGGTGGTGGGGCCTCAGGGAAGGGGAAGGAGGCAGGATCTGTCCTGGCAAAAAGTGGGAGGACCCTGGCCCCCTGGATCCCCTTGTTCTGGCACCACTGCTTTCATTCCTCGTCTGTCTCTTGTCCCAACTGTATTTCAGACAGCTTTCTCTTCCTCAGTGCCTGAGTGATAGTGGTGGAATCACTGAGAGCATAGCTGAGACAGTCTCCTGGCTCTCAGTTCCAATGCCCAGCATTACAGTGGTTCACAGCAGTCAGGTCAGGAATTGTAGGGAAAGTCCTGCTCAGCCCCTGCAGCCCTCAGCCGGAACATACTCAGTGCAAATGCAATTGCTGGATAATTTAGTTGCCAAACTCTAACAAGTCTTAACTGAGCATATGCGAACTGCAGTTTTTCAAAGATGTTCAATTTGGCCATTTTTTTTTTTACAGGAGCAGCAAAAGGCATATCCTAAAACTAGGGTAAACCTCAGAGCCAAGTGTCAAATTCCCACTCTAAAGCATGGGGGCATTAAAGCTTCTCAGTGACAAGGCTGTAAAAAATTTAACATAGGCAAAACCCATTTTTTTCCCTAATCTCATTCATAGAAACAACGGAACCATTTTTGCTGAAATTTTCCCCAAAATTTCAGCCTGAGGCAAACATCTGGTATAGAGAATTTCAGCCCAAACAGTGAAAGTTTGGCAAAGTTATAAGGAACTGAAACCAGGATTAGTGGGAAGTGTCAGGAAACCTTAACAGTGTCAGCTCTGCCTGTAATAGGCAGCCCAAATATATTCCCACCCAGTTAAAATGATACAACTATCACAAAGTTAAAACAAACAGTTCTCAGAACAAAGAGGTTATTGGGCTTAAATAGATCTAATACTGGCTGACAGGTACTAATACCTCAGCTCCCAATTTCTCTAATCACTGTGCATCTGTAGGCCGTTTCAGTCACTGCTCAGCCTGGCACCCTGGTTCCTTCTGCTGCTTGCAGAGAATGCAGGGTGGTATCTCTCAGAACTGTTGTGCTTGCATCACCCAAGGCTTTGTCAAGGGATCCTGGGACTGAGATATGGCTGCATCTGAAGCCCCAGCATTCATGAGGGAGGATTTATTTCAATATGTTGTTGAAACGATCTGATGTCAGGTTATTTGTCTCAGGGGGACCCGTGTTTCTTGTAGTTTGTTAAGCCATCTGTTAAGAAATTCAGCCACTTGTCTCTCTGCTATGAGACCACAGATGGAGAGTTTTTCCCCTTGTGTGCGCTACTGTCAATATATGCCAAAGCCTTGTTATTTGGAGCCAGGTGGAATCACCAACAAGACGAGAGAGCTTTGGATGAAAGGTGCGATACAGGTAGCCCTGTATATAGGCAAGACTCATGAACAAAGCCAGGCTACCTCTGCCTACTTCAGTGGCGTTTCAAATGCCTCCATGCTACCTCTCAAGCATGCCAGACCTCCCTTCCTGCACAGCATCAAATTGCAATTTCAGGAGGAGCTGCTCCAGAGACACTGCTTTCAGAAGTGCCAATTTAGAGCTGCAGTAGACAGGCAGAGCTGCAGGGAAGTTTGTAAAGAAAGGTTGTACGATTTAAAGGGCTAGGGAGGGGATTGGGTGGCTGAAGGAAGTGACAAGAGGCTGTGGAGCCTCTCTTATCTAGGCTACTGGTTTGAATCTCTTCTAGACTGGTGGTGACTGAAGTATCAATGCCAGATGATAGATGGTGGTGGGCTTGCGTGCAAGGACAAGGGGGTCTCTGCAGATACAGAAAAATATGAAATTCTAACAATTCAGAGTCTCCCTGCGGAGATTCTGCTGTCTCCAACAGGATCTAAGACAGCACTTGGTTAAAAATTAAGATTCTAATCCTGACTGCAAAGAAAACTGAGTGTGCGGAGAGATAAATACAGCACTAAGAGAGCTGCTAAAATCCCTCAGTCACTTTAAAGGACTATTAGCTTTAAGTGTTGATAATGTTACTTTTACATGACTGATTATCACACCAGAAACACCCAGCTAACATCTCCCCAGTGCTGCTCGGTGCATCCACCACACCCTGATTTGGGATTCCTTAGGAAGGATGTTGTGTAGGAAAGTGCAGTTTGGTCTGAATGGTCTCCCTTCCTTTCATCGTATCTTAAACAGAGAGGTTTAGCCACCATAGAACATTATTTTTTAATGTAAAAGAAAATGGCCACCCTCTTCCTGCCCTGGAAGGACTGTAGCCCTTCATGGAATTTCCCTGGTGCACTGGCCCTTTAAGAGAGTCCTGGTATCCTCCAGGAAGAAGAGACTCCGCAGCTACCAGCAGGAGGCAGCGAAGTTGCTGGACCTCCCTCCATAGGGCAGAGGCAAGATTTTGAGAGCAATGAGTGCTTAGGAAAGTTGGTCAGAAAATGCACAAAAACCGGAAACAAACATTTCTAAAAAAAGTTAGCAAAATTCCCCCATCCCGGCTCTGTTTCCCGACCATCTTTAGCACTCAGCACCTCTGGAAATCAGGCTGCTTTTATAGAGGGCCTCTGTTTAGAGGGCCTACATATAACGCCTACGTTTGAAAACTTTGGCATACGTGTTTTTTTTATTTGTGCAATGTCAAAGTATAAGAATGCAAAAAATCCCAACCCAAACAAACCAATCACTAACCTCCACAAAACACCTCTCGATCTTGCTCTCCCTCCACATAGTTACTGGATAAGGTGAGTAGCATCAGCAACGCCAAAAGAAGCAGAACCATTTCCATAGTCTCTGCCTAAGGAAACAATCAACAATCATCCTCAGCACTTCTATAGGCAGCTTTTTATTTGGCCCAATTCTGAGAGGCTGAGCAGGAGGGATTGAAGGTGATCAGCCCCTCACAAGATCAGATCCCCATATCTTTAAACATGGTACAAATATTGAGCAAGGTCCCCGATATGCAATGAGATGCCTGCAGACAGACACTTCAGTAGGATAGGGATACAGAAGTCCTTCCACATTGCTGGATTGGAGCCTAACTGACCACGTGAAAAAAAAAGTCACACACTTTTCAGTATAACATTATAGTTTATAAAAAGAAGCCCCAAGTTACAGAAATCATCGCTCGTTCTGCCAAAATTTGAATATACACAGGTATGTAAACAAAAGAAACGTATTAAAATACAGATATTTAATGATATTTGTACATTGTTATGTCTCTAAAACATATAAAACTCTATAGCTAATGCAGCTTAGGGCATTCCAGGGAACACAGGAGTGGGAGGCCTTACCTAGGGCAATACTTACTTTTTTAAAACTAAAATTGGATGGAAGCATGGACGGCGGATATAATAGGTCCCAAGGGATACCTGGACCACGGTGGCCCCACCCCTTCCCTGAGGCCCCTCCACACATCGCCTGCTTCTACTGCTGCCTGTCTACCTGCACTCCACCTCCCCTGCTCCCAGGTCCCCGCTCTCCACATCGCTTCTCCTTGAGGGCAGAGGAGTGAAGAGGGATGCTGCTAGCAAGCAGCGGGTGGCGGGGTGTCTGGTGGGGGAGTGAGGTAGCTCAGATGGGCACTGGGGCCCAACGCCCTACTCTCCAACCATACACCTTGCCCCAGCCCACAGTCAGCTGGGCGATGCTTTAAATGTAATGAGCTGGGGCATGTGAAAGCCAGATGCTCCAAGAGCACCAGCTGACTGCAACTCATCACACAAGGATCCCACCGAGAGCCTTCAGGCCCAGATGCCTAGCAAATACCTCCAGAGCAAAGGGAAACTGTGAGCGTGGGCAGGAGGAAGATTACTGCGTGGAGAGACACTGGAGCACAGGTGTCAGCTATCCACCAATCCCTGGTGGACCCCAAATTCATCGACCCAGAGGCCCAAGTGATGGTGCAACCCTTTAAGGTCAACTCTTTTAACTTGCCTACAGCCAAGTTGCCTGTCCAGTACAAGGGCTGGTCAGGAATATGGACTTTTGCAGTCCATGACGATTATCCCATTCTCACGCTGCTGGGAGAAGACTTAGCCAACCAGGCGAGGCTAACAGAAAGGGTGGGGTTGGTCACCCACAGCCAGGCTAAACAGGCCTCCACACCTAACTCCATTTCTGAGCCTCCTAAAAGGGTCCAGTCTGTGTCCCCAGATATCCCAGGCCTGGGAACCCAGCCAGAGGTGGTGGAACCAGGCCTCAGACCAGACTCTATGACAGCGGTTGTAGATCCAGTTCCTAGGACCCAGCCAGAACGAGTCCAAGGATCGGAATGGGTGGAGCAGTCACCACCAGAGCCCATGCTTGCAACCCTACCAGAGTCAGGGAAGCCAGCACCAAAGGGCGCCACAGAGCCTGAATCTGCAGCAGCAGATAAACCAGCACAAGGGACTCAACCGGATCCTTAAATACCACCTAGTGACCAGCAGAGAGTGGTTCACAGTCAATGGAGACACCCCCATCACCTGCATTGCTACCAATGGACCAAGCCCAAGTCCACAACCCAGCGAGGAACTAAGGTCTCCAGCATCAATGGAGCAGTTCCAGGCAGAGGAGGAAGTGGATGAGAGCCTCAAGGGAGCTTGGATGGCAGCACAGAGCGACCCACCACCTCTCAGCTCTTCTAATAGGTCCAAGTTTGTTGTAGAAGGAGGACTCTTACACAAGGAGACACTTTCTGGTTGGCACAAGGAGGACTCAGAGTAACAGCCGTGTTAGTCTGTATTCGCAAAAAGAAAAGGAGTACTTGTGGCACCTTAGAGACTAACCAATTTATTTGAGCATAAGCTTTCGTGAGCTACAGCTCACTTCATCGGATGCATACTGTGGAACGTGTAGAAGATCTTTTTATATACACACGAAGCATGAAAAAATACCTCCCCCCACCCCACTCTCCTGCTGGTAATAGCTTATCTAAAGTGATCACTCTCCTTACAATGTGTATGATAATCAAGTTGGGCCATTTCCAGCACAAATCCAGGTTTTCTCACCCCCCCCCCCCCCAAAACCCACTCTCCTGCTGGTAATAGCTTATCTAAAGTGACCACTCTTCTTACAATGTGTATGATAATCAAGGTGGGCCATTTCCAGCACAAATCCAGGGTTTAACAAGAACGTCCTGGGGGGGGGGGGTTATATAAAAAGATCTTCTACACTTTCCACAGTATGCTTCCGATGAAGTGAGCTGTAGCTCACGAAAGCTTATGCTCAAATAAATTGGTTAGTCTCTAAGGTGCCACAAGTACTCCTTTTCTTTTTACAAGGACTGGCATCCTCAGAGACAATTGGTAGTTCCAACTAAGCATAGGGAATAGCTCTTGAGCTTAGCCCACGTTCACCCTAGTGGCCATGCTGGGGTGAACAGGACCAAAGACCATTCGGGGAAGTCATTCCACTGGGAGGGAATGTGCAAGGACATTTCTACCTATGTCCAGTCTTGTGAGGTGTGCCAGAGGGTGGGAAAGCCCCAAGACCAGGTCAAGGCCCCTCTCCAGCCACTCCCCAAAATTGAGGTTCCATTTCAGCATGTAGCTGTGGATATTCTGGGTCCTTTCCCTTAGAAGACACCCAGAGGAAAGCTCTACATACTTACCTTCATGGATTTTGCCACCTGATGACTGGAAGCAGTAGCTCTAAGCAACACCAGGGCTAAAAGCGTGACCCAAGCATTGGCAGACATTTTTGCCAGGGTAAGTTGGCTCTTTGACATCCTTACAGATTCAGGAACTAACTTCCTGGCAGGGACCATGAAATGTCTTTGGGAAGCTCATTGGGTGAACCACTGTGTTGCCACCCCTTACCACCATCAAATGAATGGCCTAGTGGAGAAGTTTAATGGGACTTTGGGGGCCATGATATGTAAATTCGTGAATGAGCACGCCAATCATTGGGACCTAGTGTTGCAGCAGTTGCTCTTTGCCTACAGGGCTGTACCACATCCCAGTTTGGGGTTTTCACCGTTTGAACTCATTAATGGCTATGAAGTTAAGGGGCCATTACAGTTGGTGAAGCAGCAATGGGAGTGGGTTACATCTTCTCCAGGAACTAACATTTTGGACTTTGTAACCAATCTGCAAAACACCCTCAAAGGCTCTCTAGCCCTTGCTCGAGAAAACCTACAGGATACTCAACAAGAGCAAAAGACCTGGGATGATAAACATGCCAGAGAGTGTTCCTTCAGAGTTGGTGACCAAGTCATGGTCCTGAAAGCGCTCTAGATCAATAAGATGGAAGCATTGTGGGAGGGGCCATTTATTGTCCAAGAGCACCTGGGAGCTGTTGATTACCTCATAGTGTTTCCAGATCCTACCCTAAAATCTAAAGTATATCATGTTAATTCTCTAAAGCCCTTTTATTCCCAAGAAATCAAGGTTCTCCAGCTTACAGCCCAGGAGAGAGATGACGCTGAGTGGCCTGACGGAGTCTACTATGAAGGAAAAAGCAACGGTGGCGTAGAAGAGATGAGCCTTTCCATGACCCTTGGGTGTAAGCAGCGACAGCAAATCCAGGAGCTGTGCACCAGCTTCACACCAGTGTTTTCAGCCACCCCAAGATAGACAAAACGGGCATACCACTCCATTGATACAGGTGATGCTCGCCCAATTAGAGCCCAACCCTACCGGATGGCTCCTCAAGCCAAAACCACGATAGAAAGGGAGATCAAGGGCATGTTACAGATGCGTGTAATCCGCCCCTCTGAGAGTGCATGGGCCTCTCCAGTGGTTCTGGTTCCCAAACCAGATGGGAAAATCTGCTTTTGCATGGACTACCATAAACTAAATGCTGTAACTCACCCAGAGAACTATCCAATGCCACGCAGAGATGAGCTATTGGAGAAATTGGGATGTGCCAAGTTCATCTCCACCTTAGACTTAATTAAGGGGTACTGGGAAGTGCTGCTAGATGACCCAGACAAGGAAAGGTCAGCCTTCATCACCCATGTAGGGCTGTATGAATTTAACATGCTCCCTTTCAGACTGCGAAATTCACCCGCCACCTTCCAGAGACTGGTGGATAACCTTCTGGCTGGATTTGAGGAATTTGCAGTCACCTACCTTGACGATGTGGCCATATTCTCAGATTCATGGGCAGAACACCTCCAAGCTGTCTTCCAATGCATAAGGGAGGCAGGATTAACCGTTAAGGCCAAAAAGTGTCAAATATGCCTTAACAGGGTAACGTACCTTGGACACCAGGGTAACGTACCTTGGTCAAGGAACTATCAACCCCCTATAGGCTAAAGTAAATGCTATCCAAAATTGGCCTGTCCCTAAGTCAAAGAAGCAGGTCCAATCCTTCTTGGGCTTGGATGGGTATTACAGACTATTTGTACTGCAATACAGCCAAATTGCAACCCAACTGACAGACCTGACCAGGAAAAAAGAGCCAAATGCAGTTCAGTGGACTGAGAAGTGTCAGAAAGCCTTTAACCAGCTTCAGGTGGCCCTTACTAAGGGCCTGTACTAAGGGCCCCGGACTTCGACCAACCTTTTGTCGTAACCTCAGATGCATCTGAGCATGGTTTAGGAGCAGTTTTAATGCAGAAAAGACCACACCAACAATTCTATCCTGTTGTGTTTCTCAGAAAAAAACTTTCTGAGAGGGAGAGCCACTGGTCAGTCTGAGAAAAAGAATGTTACACCATTGTATATGCTCTGGAGAAGCTACGCCCATACATTTGGGAATGGCGTTTCCACCTGCATGCTGCACTGAAGTGGCTTCACGCCGTCAAAAAGACTAACAAAAAACTTCTTCAGTGGAGTTTAGCTCTTCAAGACTTTGATTTTG